GCAAGCCATTTTGAATTCAATCCTATGAATCATTTTTCATTCATTCCTTAATTGGAGAAATGGGAAYTACCCAGTTATCACAGATGATACTACCAGGCTTTTGTGTGCACAAGAATATAGAGTCATCTTTGGATGTTACTAAACCTGATACTAAAATGTACTTCTTAAGATGAGGCAACAATTGATCTGTTTAGAAAAATGAAAGTTACTCAAGTTGCAGTATGGCAAAGCCATAAAAAAAGCTGAAATTAAAAACTAAAAGKTTGAAATTAAAACCTGAAGCATCATGTTTCTCCTGGTGTTAGTGGAGATCATGGAGAGACATGCAAACAGTGTCTAGACAGAAGAAAATTATTTAATTGATCTTCCATCTGCTCTGAAATGACAGTTTAGCTCTTCAATGATATGCAGAAAAAATGGTAACATTAAAGATGTTTGTAACCAATCTGAGTTGTGCATGTAGGCCTTCATGTGAGATGAGCTTAAATGCAGAACTACTTGCAGATGCAGTTTGGGTTAATTCATACTTTTATATTGTTGTATAGTGGGTTCAGTTTGACTGGCTAACTTTTGAGTAACTTGGAGAGTTTGCACTGCCGAGTTAATTTAAAGACATGTATTGGCAAACGAAGGCAAGGGATTGTATCCAAGTCTGAGTTTCTTTGTTTTAAATGCATTAATGATTGTTCTGTTAAATTTTATTAACTCTCTGGAAAGTCTGCAGAAATCTCATTTCAAATTAGACAGGATTTATCGAGCGAAATATGGAACTTACTCTGTCAATGCCCCAGCCACTGGGCTCATTTTTTTTCTTTATAAAGTTCATTTTATTCACAATTTTGTAGCTAATTCAGATTAAAAAAACCTCTTTTTCACATGCATGTAATTTTGGTAAAATCATCATGTACAGATTTGTAAACAAGGCAGAAGAAGATTTTAATATAAGCCACAGAAAGCAACAAGTCTTTTTCTATATAGGTAATTGCTTGTTATTTCTATATTTGGGGTTTTAATACCTTCTTGGCTTCAGTGATCTGTGTGTGTTCTTATTTCTAAGGGTTTTTTAAAGTTGTAGTAACTAAAACTCATAATCTTGGAGTTGCAKCATATCTTAATACTTATACATGATCTGAATTTTGTTGCAGAACTTGAGGCCATGGAATACAAACACCAGAAGYTCACTCTGTTTTTCTAATGTTTTAAATCTTCTTAAATGCAGTGTCTTAAAAAGCTGGAATGGTTAGGAGTGGAATACAGCCTTCAGGCAAGCAATCATAAAATTAAGCACACAGGTTGCTATACTACTCCTTTTGCTCCAAGTTTAAGATTTTGCTGGTTTCCAAAGTTTACTAGTGAGTACAATCCTGCATTGCTAAATAAAATCTTATTTGGAATATCCTTTACCTCTAAAGAAGAAGGTCAATTTACTGTTGCAGGGACTCTATTCTCATCARCTAAAGCCACAAATTGTGTGCTCTCAGAAGAATCTCTACAACTTTGTAGCAATGGAGACAYTCTAAAAGGGATAAATGTGACAAATCAAATTCTGCCTTAGATTTCAACAATGTACTTTACAGGTAGTTACTTACTTTATCTTTGATTTCAAATTRGAGGGAAGGTTAAAACAGGTGCTGTTTGAAACTGAGAAAAATATAGCACCTATTTACCTACAACTTTACGTACAGTAAAGTTGTTTGAAAGTATTTTCAGGTGCATGAACCTAGTGCTTAGGGCACATAAGTAACACTAAGATATGTGAAAAGAAATTTCATACATAAACATGGCATTGTATTCACTACTGTTTGTGTTAAAATTTATGAGTGTAGATCTGAAAAGAACAGCCCTTCTGCAAAGTTAACAAAATGGAAATGTAGCAGCCAAATGCCAAATAACAAGCACTACAATAATACATTTCTAAAGCTAAAAATGTTTCATGTAAATCAGAACTTGTCTTTGAGAAATATTGTGTAGCCTTTGTATATGTATTCTTTCATCAGTGAGAATCTGTTTTAATTCTTGCATGTCCTGGGTGRGTAGTTGAATTGTTCTTCAGGTGATTTGTTTTTGTAATCAGCTTATACTTTGAAGCTTTAGTTACTGCATGAAAGGTGTTTAGTAAYGATCCTACAGTCAAATAATTCATTTTAATTCCTGTAGCTTTAAGGCAATGCAGAATAAACACTATTTTGATTCAATGTTCTTGAATTCTTTTAAAAGAGCACTACTTTAGCTCTGTGCTGCATAAATGACAATGGATTTCCTCTTGCTCTTTTTTTGTTCTGTAGTGTTATGTTATTTAAAAAACAAAAGGTTCGGTTGCATTTAGGTCAGTTATTAAAATACTGTTGGTCATTTCCTTTGACAGAACATTTCTATTGTGTTGTACCAATGTCATTAGGAGGAAAGGTTATTCCCACTTGTCTGGCTGATATCAATACRTACTGGCATATTACATCCTCTGGCTTTCTGGAAATGCTTTATTTGAGCAGCAGCTTGGGAACAGGAAATTTAAGGTTATATGCAGTCTGGTTTCAGAAAGATACCAGATAGAAAATGTGTTTCCTAGAAGATGCTGTCAATGTGACAGATTTTCTCTAGACAGTTCCTACTGTCTAGAAGGGGGAGAAAACAGAGTACTTTTATCTTAAACCGTGGTCAAATGTGAAGTCTGTGACACTGTGGTMGCTTCTAAAGGCAGGGGTTCAAGGATGGCATGTTAGCCATGCTGAGCAGCCCTTTCTATCATGATCACAGTGAGCAGGAGAATAGGAGTACAGTTCAATCTTGTAGTTGTTCATGCATATAGAACACTGCAGTACATACTTCACATTGCTTTCACTGACAAGTAAGACTGGTATGTTTTAAGTGATGATGCTRAAAATGAGAAACTCATTTTGGTAACATCTTAATATATATTACTTCGGTGGGAAAAAAATACAAAGTTGTGGAAAGAGAAATGCTTGAAATATTAATCCATCATATATATATATACTGAAGTCTGTATAAAACTATTCCATAGGGACAAATCTAAAATCATCAGAATAAATAAAAATTATAACTCTTTTTAACAGAAATAGTCACCATAGTCAGAGATTAGGCTACAAGTAAATTTCATTGTAGAGCTGAAGCATGGTAACTGATTAAGCTTTCTATCTACCTTTCTAGAGTATCAGAAGATAAAATTTGTGCACAAACTCATTCATTTCTTTTTAGGCCAGAGCTGTGGAGTCTCACCGTGCTAAGATCCTGTTTCAGTTTGAATTTTGTGTAAATGTCTTCATAAAACTAAAAATAGCTGAGGTTGGAAGGAGCCTTTAGATAGAGATCATTAATGCTGCTGCCCTGCCTGGGCACTATCAGATAGGTCAGGCTGCCCAAGCCTTGTCCAGTCAAGTTTTGAGTATCTCTAAGGACAGAAACTCAACAACTCTGCAACCTRTTCACTTGTATTTATTACCCATATTTATTACTTTAGGTGTTACACAAAATATGTATTTGTTTATGAAATGTCTGCAACTTACATGACAGAAGTAACATGCCATCTAACTACATTGAATACAAATATGGATAAGAAATGTTATGAAGCTGCTGTATTATGTCTGCACTTAGTTGTAAAATGCAGACATCTTCGCCARTTCTGACTTGCTTAACATTAACTGTAAAATTAATGCAATTTAAAATTCTGTTGCAGCTAGTTTGTTGTCAAATGTCTGTGTAATATACAGCCATCTAGCACCTAAATGGGCCTTCAAGAGAGCTGGAAAGGGACTTTCTATAAGAGCATGGAGTGGTGGGAGATAGGCTAGTGGCTTTAAATTGGAATAGGGTAAGTTAAAATTAGATATGAGGAAGAAATTATTTACTGTGAGAGTAGTGAAGCACTGAAATAGGTTGCACAGAGAAGTTGTGAGTGCTGCATCCTTGGAAGTGTTGGAAGTTGCTTTGAGCACCCTGGTCTGGTGGAAGGTGTCCCTCCCCTGAACTGCATGATCTTTAAGGTCCCTACCCACCTAAACCAATCCGTGATTGTATGAAATGCAGATTAATTTTGCTTATTCTCAAAGCTCACCAAAAGCCATGTGGCTGTGTTAATGTGCTTTGAGGTTGTATCAAGAAAACCTCTTGAAGACCCAAGTGTAAAGCATATGAGCACCTAAATACTTTCAGTCAGTGCTGTCTCATGTCCTAGCAGCATGGATTACAGGGTCTTCACTTGCCTTTCACATGGGTCCATTTTTGTCAGCTATGTAGGCATGTGACACTGATCATATTAGGTRTGATTTGTAACACCAAATATTTTCTGCATTAAACTTGCTGTGCRCATAAGATTGATCTAAGCCAATTATAAGAGTGATAACATTGCTACTGTGCTACTGACACAGTTATCTTAATTATATTATAATTTTTATTTCTGTTAGCTGTATTTCTTGAAATTTGGTGAACCTGTAATAAGAATTTCTGCCAGGCACATTAAAGAGACTTTCGTGTACGGGTTACGTTTGTGTTAAYGGCATGAGTCAAGGTAAGTCTAGTGAAGAGACAAGGTGAAATAAATCACAAGGTYAAGGYRAGAGAAGAGAACCCATTTGCTCTACCACTGTGAATGTAGCCACTATGTGAGATAATGAAGCAGARCACTTTCTGTGATTGGTGTTAATTTGCCATATTCACTTGGTTGACTGCTTTTTGAATCAGTTACTGTGCAAAGTTGTGCTTACCATACTAATACTTATGTGTTGCATATCAGTTTTAATTTAATTCAAACTTTGGGCCAATATAAGCCTGGAAGTAGCCCTGTTATCAGTTTTATGGTAGGTCTCCTGTTTGACATTAAACTTCAGCTGTTTCACCTGTTTTTCTTCCAAAGCATGGTAGAACCTTTTCATTTTAGCTTTACCACAAAGGTTCCACATCCACATGTGCCTTGGATATCATTATGGAAGGATGATTGCTTGTCTTTTATTGCTGTAAACAATTTTTCATTCTTTTCTAATCAACAGAATTTAGCATCCTGGAATCCTTCAAACCCTGAATGCCTCCTGCTTGTTGTGAAAGAGCTTGTGCAGCAGTATCACCAATTTCAGTGCAGCCGATTACGGGAGAGCTCTCGTCTCATGTTTGAGTATCAGACTTTACTTGAAGAGCCCCAGTATGGAGAAAACATGGAAATCTATGCTGGCAAAAAAAACAACTGGGTAAGCTCTTATTTCACCTGAAATGCTTTTAACAAATGCATTTAGYAAACTGAAATTCTTACTGTGCATCTCCACACTTCCTGTTTCCAATGGAGAAAGCTCCTATTTGACTCCAGCTCATTTTCTATGCTCCCTGTTTTATATGTTGTGGTATTCCATTACCTTGGTTGAACCAGATTCCCAGGTGAGAATTGGTTTTGAACCTGGTGTTTGTTCATCTGGTTATTGGGTGAAAACTTTGAAACTGTTGAAAAGCCTGTTCCAGCCTACCAGTAGCATATATTAGAGTGTGTTTCCACATTACAATTGAGTTGATTTAATTGGTAGCTGCAGCTGCCAGTATCTCTCCTGCACTTGTCTAAGATGAGATGACTTGTTGCAGGAAATTAAACTGGAGAGGAAAAGCTTATCCAACTGATTTTCTGCAAAAGGGGGCAAGATGAGCTAGAGCAGTGACTTGTAGGGCCATGCTTTCATATGACAGTCAGAACATGAAACTGACTTGTCTGTTTCCTGAAGTTATATCCCATATTCCCACATGGGAAATGTACCATGTTGTATAGAAACATTCTGTGTATACCATCTCGCAAGATGTGACCGCTAGCAATGTAGACATTTTGGTTAATATGTGAATGTTTTGGGGTTTTTTTGTTTTAATCAATCTCTGCCACAGAGTAAGCTTTGCAAAAATCAGGTGTTTTTCTGCTGGTAATATATTTTTCATGGGAAGTTTGGATTAAAATACATCAGGAAATATCTAATGGTGTTTATGAGGAACTTGTATCCCTCTTTCTTTCAGAAATAGCATACTTTTAAGATAAACTGGCCTTCAGATGCAGTATCTTCTGAAATAGGCCTGAAAGTTGATGAAAATTCAGCACCCCTATTATCAAGGCCTAGAATTCAACTTTATGCKACTTCAATCATCCTTAAGTTACAGGTGATGCAAGGAWATTTACAACTCACACTAGTTATATYCATCTGGTTTTCTTTTCTTAGACATCAGTAAGTCATCTAGGCTTTTTTTATTTGAACTCAGGTTTAATTTTCTTCATCRAAGAAATTCAGACCTCCTTTTTTAATGTTTATTGATCAGAATATTTGATTGAAATGAACTTATTCTGGGATGTTATTCTCCATAACTTGCATCACAAACAACTTGCTACATGTTTAAATTTCATCCAGCTGGTTTATTGAAGTGCAGAAGGTTTACTGAACTGAGCTGAGATCTTATCATAGTTTTTGCCAGTTGCAAAAATTCTACTCAAGATTGTAGAAAACTAGGGGTTTTCTTCTTTTTTTCAGAGAGGGACATAGCTACTGAAGCCTTTTGGGTCTTTTCTCAGCCATTGGTGACTGAATGAAGACCTCTCTTTAATTTTAAATGCTCTCTTAATTACAAATATTCTGATAAAGTAAATATACTTACTCAAAAGTAAGTCAAATCTTTGAGTCAAATCCTTTTCATCATTTTAGAGCTYTTTTGGATTTTTCCTTAGTGTGTACTTTTTTCCCAGTCTTCATTCTCTGTCAAGAAGACTCTTGGGAGTATTGAAGATTCTGTGAACATGGTATACATGACAGAGGCTTGTTTACTAGTTTCCTAAAACAATCCTGTCCTTTACAATTGTTTGGTTAGCCTCAAGGATCAGCGAAATACAAGTGTTTTGCCAAGAAACAGTAGGTAAATTGACTTTTATCTCCTCTGCCTGAAAGTCATTGAAAYTCATTTTGTTGCCTCAGGAATCCATTGTAGTTCAATGGTTTTCTGAAATTATGGATTATGAGCCTTGAACAGTGTTATGAAAGCAACCTCCTTAGGTGCATGAGTTAAAAAAAACTTTGAAGAGAAGGCCTGGATTCAGTGCTGTGTCCAAATATGGAACAGAAATTTGCTCTTATGCCTTTGTTCCACTATCTCCAGTTTCCTAAAGTGCAAGTCTCCAAGATCTATGACGAACTGGCAAACTATAATCTAKCTTAGTAGCTTCATGTTGGCAGAGTACCAGCAGGTACAGGAGCCCACTAAATATCTAATCATTCAGGGCTGTGGCCAGAAATTAATCTGTCTCGACCTGATGCCTGTATCCAACTGGTTGGGATTGGGGAGGTGAGCACCATGGACAGGGGCTGCTCCCTGTCCAGCCAAAACACCTTTGGAAGTAATAGGTTGCAAAATAATCTTGATTGAATGGCATAAAGGGTCTAGATCTTTTGGAGCAGCTGATGCTTTGATCAGAGGCCATTCATCTGTTCAGTGGCTATCCCAGTTCATCAGATGTGGTATTTTACCAGAAATAATTTTCTGGATTTTATAGCAAATACTGTATGGCATTTTTTGGAAGTTAGGTCCAGAAGAGACACACTGTCTGTAATATCCATCTCACTCTGGATAAAAAGTGAGGACCCTGACTGTTATCATAGCAGTCTTCACGTTATATCTGTGCAAGAAGTTGGTGATTTTTCTGCATGCATCAGTAATGCWGCTTCAGAAAGCTGGTATCTGTCTTCACAAGTGCTGTAATGGACTTTAATGTACTCACTTTTTGTTGCACAGTGTTTCTATGAGCAATTTCTTTGCCTATCTCATGTGACTACCAGTGACAAGTTTCAAGGGCAATTCTTAGCTAGCTGCGTGGATTAAGGCCCAACATCACACAAACCCTTTTGGTAAATGATGTGACTTGAGAGGTACCAGTGGAAAGATTTCAGTTGCATTGCAGATCTAATTTTTTCTTGTTTAGTAACTTAAAGGTAGAATGAGTTATTGTAGCTGGTGGATAGACCAAGAAACAAATTGGCACTTACAAATTGACTAGCTTGTCTCAAATTACCCCAATTTCTTGTACTTAATTGAATGAAACCAATGTTTAACAATTTCTTTACTGCTAATTCACCCTACCTAACAAATGTAGCTGCTGTGTGGCTATTTTATTGAACTAAAAATATAGAGATAACAAAAAGTTAATGTGGAGGAAATCAGTCAGGCATTTGTTTTTTAAAAACGGTTAACTTTGTTGCTTCATAACCAGGTGGACAAAGTCTGGTTTTAAGGAAGTGTATGAAACAGAAAGGAAATCCTTTCCATTTCCTTCACATACCCTTTATACGTAAAAAAGAGTATGTGTATGGGACGCTTGGCAAATTTTCAGTAAATGGTTGTCTAGGTGTTAAGAGTTACATAATTCTGAAAATAAATTATTTAAAACCTTCCACTTCAGCTCTTTTCCTCTAATTTTATTCCGACGACACTTTTGATATGTACTTGCCTTTTTAAACACACATTCTCTTATTTGCATCAGCAGTGTTTGTGAAGATGCTTCTATATTATCTATATGCTGTAATCAATTTGGTAGGTTTTTAGCTTTGTTTTCAGACTGTTGGCAGGTCTTGCCAGACCTTTGTCCGGAAGTGAGTACAGCCAAGATGCATCTATATTTAGGATGTTACAGTCTGATTTTTGTCATGCACATTGTTTTATTCTAAATGCTTTTTGCTGTTGATTTACTGGCAATGATGGTTTGTGGGTTTTAAGGTGTTTTTTCATATGACACCTGTGAAATTTGTGATTTTTTTTTCTCTTCAGCAATTTTGTTTTAAATCTCAACCCTTCTCTTTGGTGTGAGTTCTTACACTTTTTTTCTGGATAGTATTTAATCCTCAGAAAGTTTGTGGTTCTGTTTTAGCTACCAGGTCTCATTAGTGTTTCCTTTTTTCCACAGACTGGAGAATTCTCAGCTCGCTTCCTCTTGAAGTTGCCTGTAGATTTCAGCAATATTCCTACATACCTTCTCAAGGTAAAATGACTAAGTTGACGGTATTTGTGAGAGAGTATGAATTATTACAATCTCCTTAGTAATTATTTTGGCTTCTCCTCCTTCCTGCTCTCCAAGAGTTTGAAAATTCACCATTTATAAATCTGTAGATTATGTTTTGGAAAGATGATGTTGGACATATTGTTGTTTTATATGACACTTCAGTGGCACCTTTTATATATAAGAGTCTGTGGAATTTCATGACATGTAAATGTTGGGATTTTTAATGAACAGTCTCAATTGTACCAGTAGTCTTGATAGTAGAAGCAGAAAAGCAAACTAAATATGCCATTTTGTAATGGAATGAAAGCAAATTCTGGTTACTTGGATTGAAAGTTTCAGTGATTACTTTGCTTCATTGTTCCTAATGAACACAGATTTGGCCASATACTTTGGAAAGTAGGACTATAGAGTATTCTTGTGAGTTGGAAGAAAAAGCATTTATTTATTTGCTATGAGGAGAAATAAAAACAGAAAAAGCAATTTGTGACAAACCACCACCATGAAATAATTTGAAATGAGTGGTTTTCACAGCATGGGTACAGTCTCTCTTTGACGYAGCTACTGTGGAAGCTCATCATGGGGTCAATGTTGCTATACTTAGAGAACATGGTGAGAGGTCTGGTTTTTCTGTCTATCCTGGCTGTCAGAATGAAGTGCCAGAACTTCCACTGCTGACAAAGTTTGAGTCAGTTGATGTTGCCAACACTCRTCTTTCCTTTAAGCCGTGTGTCTGCCTTCTTAATCAGCTTTTTACTTTTAAATATTTGGAAAGAGGAACAGCTACTAAATCTTTAAAAACTAAAGTGTTGAGATGAAATTGTCAGTGTTGATTCCATTACCTCCTCTTCATCTTAYTGTTAGAACTGCCTTCAACTATTGTTAGATAAAAATTGCAAGTGTGAGTCTTCAGTGTTTCACCAAATAAGATGTCTCAAGCTACAAACTATGAAAATAAAGACAGGCACAGCTATAATCTTGACTGAAATTTTGATTGCAATTTGAGATTGGAATCCCATRATCCTTCTGCCTTCTGTAGATTGTTTTCTGTTTGAATAATGAGCCACTTCTCAAAACTATGCTGATATTTTCAGTTTATTCCTGTGTTGGTAGTAGCAGCCCTTCTCTCAGCTGCTGTCTTCCATTGGGCTTTTTGTTCTCACTTGATGGGAATGGTTCTGGACAGACGTAAGAGGGTTGGCTAAGGCCTTTTCTGGAAGKTTGGTGTTACACAGGACACAGGAACAGTTCACCTGTACTGCAGGACAGCTGTGATTTGCTCCTGAAAGACTCTGGTGAAAAGAAGACTGAGAATGTATAGTGTGAACTGTGCTGTCTACTGCTGCCAGAACTCCCAAGTGCCATATTTTTCRGGAACAATTTTAAATGAGTCAAGAATTTCAGGACCAGTGCATAAGCAATATGTTCAATAGCTTCAGTTGCAGGATGTCTTGTACTTCTCTGTTCAGTTTCTGGGTTAACTCAGAGGCTGGAAGGTGGTATATGACTTATGTAATTGTCATCGTGTAGGAACCCCGTGACAGAAACAGAATCTGCTGTTGACTCCGAAAAGTAATGCTTTAATGCATGACAACAAACTCCTCCTTACTGTAATTCCCTAACGTGTTCACTAAACATCTTCTCTAAACAAGGTTTGTATACTGTGGATAAATCATTAGTGCTCCACGAGGCTCTTCCTGGAGCTTTGTTCATCCTGAGTACTGAGTGATTCATTAGWTTGAAGGAAAACATGTATTTATTTTGCATGCATATGTAGTGTGAGGTGAAGGGACATGCAGAGCAGGTAGCAGAATCAAAGTTTCCCAGTCTGCCTTTATTTTGACATTTCTGAAATCTGAATGTCTTAGCTTTGGGATTTTAAAACTAATGTATTTTGTATGTAATTGTGTGGATTTTTACAGCAGCAGATCCTTCTTGATGGCCAATGCACTGGTGAAATCCTTAGTTTTCTTAGTAAGGCTTGTACAGTGTAAATCAGCAGATTAACTTTCTGTAGTAGGAAAATAATATGTAATATGGCTGAGTAGCCACAGGAGAAGAAATACTATTTTATTCCAGGGGTATCTATTGACAATAGAAAAATTTGATTTAGTCTGCAGCATGGGTTAAAACAGAGTGTGTTCTGTAGCAGACATGGGTGTTATACCCTTGCTGCCCTTAGCTTCCTGTGTTCTGAGCTATATGAATGTTATCTCATGTGACAACAACATAAACAACATAGAAGCAGGTGGAACCAGAACTTTTCTGTTGTGGTTGAAAAAATTGTGCTCCAAATTCATAAAGGATTAAAAAAAAGATGAGAGGTTTGTTTTGTTTTAAGCTGTCCTTGTCTTTTTTTTTTTTTTTTTTTTTTTTTTTTTTTTTTTTTTTTTTTTTTTTTTTTTTTTTTTTTTTTTTTTTKGGATGAGRCTTTTGACATAARTAGACCTTTAATGTATTKCAGTAAAATAGTTTATTTTCCATCATGGCTACCAGTTATGCTGGTTTCAATGCTACCTACTGGACTATGGTACATGATTGATAAAGCATCTATTGATGCAGTGGAAATAATTTTTGATATATTGCACTGAAAGGTGGAAGAGCAGTCAGTAATTGAAGACTGTTAGTGTATTAACAGCTTAATGTTTTACTGCAGAATTTAATGTCGTTGAATTATGTTCTACTCTGTAGCCAACCTTGTAGTGCAGTAGCTTCTCTGTAATGATTTGCCAAGTTCAAATGTGTTGTGCTTTCTGTGGCATTTTCTTTTTTATGTTTAATTAATATTACTTATATTAAATCTAGTGAAATATTAAATACCATTATTTTTGCCTAATCAATCACTRTTAGTATCCCAGTGATTTCTAATGCTCTTCTGAAGCTTTTATTGGTGTCAGTAGGTAATGATGGTACAAGCATGACTGTAAAGCTTGGTATCATAAGCCAGTACTAAGATTTGAGAGTATAAACTATAAGATYAGTATGTAGTGTTATAAAATCTTTGCTGAGAATATGCTCTGGAATCATCAGACGTTATTTTGTCAATTTTGTACAGATTGTGGTGAGGGTACTTTAAAGAATAAAAATTTGAAGGTGTAGCATAAGTTGGATTGTTATGGACTGGAGAGGTGAATTTGCCAGGTTATTTCAAATGTATTCACAGCACTAAATTTAAAATTGAGTGCAAGTGAGTGTATGTTTCAAGTAAAATAGCTGTGTATATTAAGTGAGGATGGTTAAAAGAGCAAAGCGGAGTATACTGTCTCTTTCTTTGAATTCTAAAATCGTAGCAAAATTTCTTCACTGTTTATTGCATTGGAAACATAATACCTGTTGTAATGTCTGCAGCAGATAAATCTCTCTTCATAGCTTCTCTTGGCATATCCTTTACATTTGAAAGAAAAAGCATTATTGTGTATTTTCTATGCTAAAGAGTCGATTARAAAGAAATGTTGGCTTACACTTAAAAAGCACATTCATTATTTTTCCTTTTAGAAAGTTGTACTTTAATACAAAGGTTTTTAATTGAATGTGGACCTTTGTATCCAATTTTCAAATTGCTTTCTTATGCAAATCTATTTGATATAAGTGAAAGTTTTGTGTTGAAAAAGCCACAGAATCAAGCTGATGGCTCAAACTACTGCAAAGTTCATTACGGTAAATSTTTCATTAAGGTTCTCTTATTTGAAAAGAATGTGGCTTTGGCTCAGGAAAATCCTTGTATACTTTTCCTTTGCCTTTTTTTGCAGTTGGATTTTTAATCAGCATGTTCATTTTGAATTAAATTCTTTTGTGTTCATTGATGCATTTCTAATTTTCTCCAYCATATTTTATAAAGGGAAGTATTCACTGTGTATACTCATTTTGAGAGTCAGTCTGTAGTTCACATTTCTGCCTCTTTACAGACACCTTGTATGCCACAGCAGTAAAAAAAGTAATAGGCTCAGCATCTAAAATACCTCTTTCAAATTTTCGTAGAACTGTTTAGGTTAGAAAAGACCTACAAGATCATCAAGTCTAACTRTTAACCCAGCACTGCCAAGTCCACTGATAACCCCATATCCCTAGGTGCCCCATCTACACATCAAATTTGTGCTTCCACCAGTGGTAACTCCACCCACTTCTCTGGGTAGTCAGTTCCAGTGCCTGATCGCTCTTTTCAGTGAAAAAAATTTTTCCTAATGTCCAATCTAAACCTCCTCTGGTGCAACTTGAGGCCATTTCTTCTTGTCTTGTTACTTGTTACTTGGGAGAAGAGGCCAACCCCTCCCTCATTACGTTCTCCTTTTAGGTATTTGTAGAGGGAGATAAGGGTYCTCCTTGACCCTCAAATTCTCCTGACTAAACAACCCCAGATGCCTTATCCAGTCATCATGAGATCTGTGCTCCAGACCCTTCCCCAGCTCTGTTGCCCTTCTCTGGACAYGCTCCAGCCCCTCAGTGTCCTTCCTCCAGCCAGGGGCCCAGAACTGGACACAGCACTTGAGGTGCAGCCTCACCMGTGCTGAGTACAGGGGCTTGGTCACTGCTGTGGTTCTGCTGAGCACGCTATTCCTGATAAAGTCAGGATGTCATTGAMCTGCTTCACTACATTCATTCTGTAGAGTTTTGTTTCATTCTTGGTAGTTTTTGTCAGCTAGGGGCACATACGTAATCATAATGACAAATCACTGAAAATCTCTAGCTCAGTAATTTACAAATTGTACTTGATTATGTGACTGCAGTATGATTGCACAGTATTAGTGAACTTCAGAATAGGTTGCCAGTGACGCTGTTGAAAACAAGACATTTAGGTATTTTTCTTCTTATTTCCATGGTTTTTTTTGTTTTGTTTTGACTAAGTAAGATGTTCCCTGATTAACACCGCCTTCTTGTGTGTATCTTTTAAAGTGCTCATTTCCTATGTGTCTGTACCTGCCTGTTGTGCTTTGCTGAATAGCTAATATCAGGACTAATTTAGCTATGATGCTGTGACCAGCAGC